TTAATGGCGTGGAAGTAGAAAAGCCTGATAATTTCCCTGCCGCCAAAAGAATCCTGACCGTAATTAGAACTGGCCCGGGTACGCGGGAGATTTGGGGCATGATACAGGAGGCCCAGTCGTCTCTAAAAATGGTGCCCCCAGCTGCCTACCTTTTAGATCCGGAAACAGAAGAAGCAGATCAAAAACTCAAAGGGAGGGTCCCAGTTTTCGTTCACCCATCCCTTTATAGGGCGCTCAAATTAACCTACCCTTCGGACATCGGCGGCTTGTCTCAGGATGATACCGTCGAAAGTGAGATGGCGTCAGGATCTATGGGACGAGCTGTCGGTGTCCTCACCCCAGCCATGTTCTATCCTGAAGGGCAACCCTAATCGGTTTCACAATGGCACTTTGGTTAGCTAGTTTGAATGCCCGGGGCCTGAGGTCCGAGTCTCGCAGGGCGAGGCTCTCTCGTGACCTTCAGCGCCTCGGGGTGAATATATGTTGTTTACAAGAGACCCGGTTTTTTTCTCATGATCGTAAGGACATACTGTCTAGGGGGTTCGCCCTTTATTTAGCATGTTTTGATGGTTGTTCGAGGGGTGTCTCTTGGCTAGTGAGCAGGTCTTTGAACGCTGCATGTACCCTTGTCTTCGCGGATCCGGCGGGCAGACTTTGCGTGCTGGATGTTACCATAAAGGATAAGCTTCTTCGTCTCATTGGGGTTTATGCGCCCAATATCCATTCCGAGCGGCCTGCTTTGTTTCGGCAGATCGCGCCGTTCTTGACGACGTCTCGTCGGGTAGTTTTAGCGGGGATTGGAATGCCGTCCTTGACCCCGATATAGATCGTATAGGGCACAAAAGGTACTAACAACCCGGATGTGAAACCATTTCGGGACTTTATCGATGGGTTTGATCTCGTCGATAAGTTCCGGAATGAACACCCTCGGGAGGTAGTATGGACTTGGACAACTAGTGGCAACTCGGATCCTGGCTCGCGTGCGAGCTACCTGGACCGAGTCTTAGTTAGGAGAGTCGATGTAGGGCTCTTAGGCTGTCCAAGTTTCCATTATATAGTTTATACGGATCATAGGCTTGTCCGGGTTCGTGTAAACTTAGATAAGCCTAAGGTTAGGTTGGCTGGTTACTGGAAATTGAACTGTTCGCTTTTCAGTGATCAGGGTTTCCGGGAACAACTGCTACTAACGATCCAGAGGGAATTGACGGGAGCGGTTGTGAGAAATGCCTGGTGGGGCAATTTAAAATCTAAAATTCGAACGTTTGCTGCCGACTTTAGTCGTCGGCTCAATTTAGATAAATTAGCGGCGCAAACGGCTTTAGAAGAAAAAGTTGATCGGGCCGTGAAATCCCGTGTTAGTGGGGACATAGTCGTAGCTAAGGCAGATTTGGCCTCCTTGCTTATCAAGAAGGATCAAGCTCTGGTAGTTAGGGCTAGGTTAAAAAAGAATGTCTTCTGAGGCAACGAATATGGCCGCTAAACTACGTGTAGAGGAAAATCGAAACGCGGCCAGGCGACATATAGCGTGCGTCACATTACCGGATAAGCGGACCGTGACTACAAACGCGGGCATATGTGAGGTCTTTCGAGATTACTTTCAGGAGCTTTTCAGGGGGCCCGGTCTGAGCTCTGCTCAGTTCGACGCCTATTTAGCTGACTTTTCCTGCCTCTCGGCAGCTGAAGTGGCTAGGTGCGAGGGTCCCATAACAGAGTCGGAAATCTGGGAAGCGCTGAAGCAGGTTGGCCTGGATAAGTCTCCGGGATTAGATGGTCTTCCCTTCTTGTCGCACGTTTTTATTCCTTTACTGGAACTGATGTACAACCACTGGATGAGGCAGGGGTCTTTACCTCAACGCTTCACCAGGGTGTCATCAAGTTGCTGCGTAAGGACAAGGACGGTGGGGATGGGTTAGGGAACTTTCGCCCTTTAACGATGTTAAACACTGACTTAAAGATTTTGGCGAAGATCTTAGCCAACCGTTTGCAGCTTGTCCTGTCTAGTCTGATTGGCCCTGAACAGACTTGTGCTGTGAAGGGCAGGACTATTCAGGATAACCTGTATATGGTACGCTTGATCTTAGAACAAGTCGAGAGTGAAGCAGCGCTGATCAATTTAGATCAGTCCAAGGCCTTCGATAGGGTTGACCATCGATTTCTGGAGGCTGTCCTTTCGGCGGCCGGTTTCGGAGCCGACTTTCGCTCCTGGATCCGACTCTTGTATGCGACCCCCGGTGCGCTGGTGGAAGTGAATGGGGTAAGATCGAAGCCTTTCGTATTGTCTCGCTCCATTCGTCAAGGTTGTCCGCTATCGCCTCTGCTTTACGTTCTTGCGTTGGAGCCTTTCCTTCGCAAGTTAAAGGCGAATCCAGTCCTACGCGGTATTTCGCTGCCTGGTGCTTCCACCTCGGCGGGTATTCTGCCTATGCTGACGACGTTTCGGTTCTTGTGTCGAGCAGAGCCGAGATTAACGAAGTCAGTAAGCAGATCAGTGGGTATGAGATGGTGACAGGGGCCAAAATCAATCGCGATAAGTCTGTGGGCTTGCGGTTGGGTGCGTGGAAGGGAGTTTCTCTTCCCGGACCTTTCCTCTGGACGGATGGGCCGATCAAGATACTCGACGTCTGGTTCGGTCCTGATCTCCAGTTGGAAATGAATTGGTCGGAGGTACAGGGGCGGGCCGAGGCCGCGGCTAGTCTGTGGTCTCGGAGGGGACTTTCCCTGATGGGAAGGGCGGAAGTTTGTGGTTCACACATCTATCCGATCCTCCTCTACCGTCTTTCTGTGCTTCCACTCCCGTATGCCGGACTAATGTCATTAGTCAAGGCCTTGTTCTCTTTCTTGTGGAGAGGCAAGGCCCATATGGCATCTCGCGAGATCTGTTGCCTTCATCCCTCTGAGGGCGGTCTGGGGATGCCTAGCATTGAGATTCGTCAATATATGCTACGCATTACCTTTCTAGACCGAATGTGTCGCGGTTTGGATGAGGTGGGCACCTTTGAAAAAGAAGATGTCCGAAAACATTTCCCATCCCTGAGAAGTGTGCACTCGTGCGAGGAGGAGGCCGGTCGTACTCCTCGTGGCGAGTGCTCCTTCTACCGCGAATGTCGTCGTGCTTTGAAGCTCCTCTTGCGGACGTCGGATGGCCTCTCCGACGCCTAAGCGTTGTCTCGTAAGGCATTATATCGTTTGTTAGTTAGGGGGTCCGTTCAAGATGGTCTGATCGACGAGCTCGGTCTTACGAAGCAGGAGGCTCGCTCGGTATGGCCTTGGGCGCCTGGGTTGAAATGTCTCAATAACGATGAGGCATCACTCACCTGGCTGATGATTCGTGGGGCCCTCTGGGTCGGCAAAAGACTTTTGTTCAGCAGGCTTGGAGAAATATCCAAACTGTCGTCGCTGTACTGGGAATGTCGAGACCATTGGTCACGCCTTTTTTCAGTGCGAGGCGGTAGTGCCGTTGTGCAAGTTTGTTGAAGGCCTCATGGTTCGCATGCTGCAGGGAAAGTTTTTTGTCCTGGAAGCCAGTTCTGTTTGTAGCAATGTGGTATCGCAATTGACGAAGGCTGAACACTATGTGTTCTGTTGCTTACTAGGGGTTATGCGAGTCGTGATTTGGACGACGCGACAGAAGGGATTCTATGAAGGCGAGAAGTTCACCTCTTCCTAACTGATCTTGTACTTTAAGCATCAGCTTAAAGTCAAGATTAGGACGGAAAGGCGGCGGCTCCCATCATCAGAATTCGGCAAAAGGTGGGTGAATCTTGCGCGAATGTGTAGAGTGAAAGGGGCTGTCCTAGAGTGGCATTTGGATGTCGGTTAGGTACAGAATTTTGTCCTAACAGGGTTGAACATAGGCAACCCACCCAGATACTAGGCTTGACTAGGTTTTCATTTTTGAATTTTTAGTTACCTTTTTTTTCCCGGTTAACTTAGCTAGGGTATGTAAGCTCATTGGTCCCTTTTATTTCTGTCCCTTTTTTTTTTTTTTTGTTTAATTCCCCATCCTCCCTCGTTAGGTGGTTAGTGATGTCAGTTCTCTGGTGGATGCGGGGCGCCTTTCGTTTCGTGTGTGTTTTCGTATTTGTTGTTGTGTATGAATGAGTGAGTGTTTGTGTGAATGCTTGATGGTTTGAATGTGTTCTTATTTCCTTAGTCCCGCATCGATTTCGTCCGGTTAACTGATATTTCTGCTACATTCATAGTTTGTGGGTGTTTTATTACTAACGTAATTTTGTTTAGTTTATTGTAAATAATTAATTCATTTTGTAAATATTCATTTGGGGATTTTAAAAGTTGTTATTTTATGACCCTCCCCATGAACAATATTTGTAAATAAGGGGACTAGTTAGGACTTCATAGAGAAACTGAGGTATTATGGTGGACGTAGTAAGAAAGGTAGGAGTGAATGTGTTGTTTTGGTGATTGGATTATTGTTGGCATGTTTGGGTCAGTGTCTGCGACTAGCTAAGTTTAGATTTAAGACAGATGAAGACCGTCATTCCCCTTCCCCCTTTTCGGCCTTGTGCCACATTTTGTATTTAAATGCAAATAAATATTGCCGATTCCAATAATCATTTGAAGATTTTGGAATCGGTCTGTATAGGATTAAGAAAACCTTCTCTCTGCCGGCAGAAAGAATTTATAAGGTCTCTGAATCTGTTGGGGATATTTTATTTTAACTGTCCCTCGCTAATTTATTTACACGATCCTTCCTCGTTACAAGTATATATACTTGTTCGTTATTTTAGTGTGTTTCCCCCTCTTTTTTGCTCTTCAATATCGCTATTATTCATTTCGCTAATCCAACGATTGTCTCCTGATGAGATATTGGCTGAAAGGGCCCTAGAGACTTTTAAAATTAAAATCAATGGTTTCCTTGTTTTTAAAACTATATATATATATATATATATATATATATATATATATATACAGATGTACATTTTTATGGAAAAATGCCTTGAAAATATGATGCAATCGCTTTTGGAAATGTTCATCCTAAGAAGCAATTGAAAGTTTTTTTTTTTGTCTCTTTGCAATGTTTTCTTATTAAATCCAATTATTCTTTGCAGTAATCTTTCTTGAAATAATTGTAATTCTATGAAATCTCTTTGATAAGACTTTATCATTATTTCGCCCACGTATTACCAAAAGGTAATTGCAATTTTCTCGGCTGAACACGAAAAAGACGGAGAAATCTTATATCTCGATGTCTGCTTTGTATGAAGAACAAGACTTGACGTCGCCATATTGGTGCAGGAGAAATCAACTGGATGATTTCACATTTGAAACCTTCCAACCATATCTACATATCAAAAATAACCGAACCCCGTAAATACTAATGTATGTATGAGTCAAAAGACAGCTTCATTCAGTAGTCGATTTTCGATCCGACGTAACAAACAGGTTATGTTTATTTTTAAGCAACCCTATTCACTCAATTTGAAAAAAAAAATGGCGTAACACAGTCTTCCTAGTTGCATTTCTTCTCAGTTATCCTAGGTTAACCTTAGCGACAATATGGTAAATCTTGTCTTCAAGGCCCCAGGGTTAAAAGCGTTGGTTGAATCCAATGACATTAACCAAATACCTGGCTACAGTAGAATTTAACAAAAGCATGGAGAGTTAAGTTAAAAGGGAGATAACTGATATTGTGACATCCGGAAGAGTCATGGTACGTGTAACTAAGACATTGTACCTCGGTGCACGAAATAAAGGGTTCAGTTCGAAATTCCAGTCACCTGAAGAAGGCCGAAGTGCATAAGGGCCGAAACGTCGGGAATATGACAAAGATGAGGACAACAGTCCGAACAATGTAAAATAATGTAAATAAGCAAATACCTCATCTGAGAAATATAGACACATCTTGCTTTGTAGCTTAGATAGGTATGTAAAGGAATGCATATAAAACGAGAATGATTCAACCATGTGAACGTGGCAAGCCAAATATTGCCTGTAATATGTTCGCTCTGTACAAGGCCCGGGCCAACTCGAGGTAGATGGCTACATCAAGGGGTAATTTATACGGATAGGTGGGTTAACGCTACACTTGAACAGGTTAAGATTGAGGTGATCAGGGCAACCTCCTTTTAGGAGTCTGTTCCACAGAGCAGCGATTCGCAGAAAGAAGCTGTTTGTGTGGAACTTATTTCCTACCGACGGAATAGGGAGGGAAGGTAGAGGTTTGCTACAATGTAAGTGACATGGCAGGTCCTGACCGTGAAGGTTAGACAGAACTACATCCCTTCGCGGAACCAAAGGATGTAGTTCGTCTGAGTGATACTAAAGATGGTGGAGTAATAGATACCGGCTCGGAGTGAGGAATCGGAAAGCCGAGTTCGAATTCCAGTCGAATCCACTACATTTACTTACGTGCTTGGGAAAGGTATAAATACTCTTCTTCTCTCCCCCCCCCCCAGCTATGGGTAAATAGACCGGATTTTATATCCTTGGATTGCAACTGATCTACCGTAGAAAGAAATATCAACAAACTGCTGGAAAAAATGTACCTCGTCAGTTATGTATCGAAAGATACATGATCGCCCAAGCGTGCATCACAGATGGCACATAACTGTCTGATATTGAAAATAGATCTCTTCGGCGCATTTGCAATTAAATCATTGTGATGTAATGAAATAACCAGTCACCCCCATGAATGATTATACTATAGGTAGTAAGTACCTATAAAGTCAACTGTCTTCAAGAGACTGGGGGAAGAGTGAGAGAGAGAAGACGTAAGCACGTCTGACCTTCCAATTAGTGACACTCACTTCTAGATTGATATGTGTGTATAATTGTACCGTATTTCATATTGTATTTGTTGTGCACAATAAAACTTTCTACTAGTATCCAATTGGTGTTATGGGTTTATTCCCTTAGCACGAATATAACACATTGACGTTGAAACACAACAAAGTCTTGTCGCTCTTAAATATCAGCTAGGCATTAACTGTTATTACTATTGTCAATTTTGACAAAATTCAATATTAAATTAAAGGCAGGTTTCTTTCTTTTGGTATTTTGGAGGATTTGTTTGTTTTTTTGTTTTTTTTTTCGTTTTTTTTCTCGAAAATGGCGAATCCTCCAAATTTTTTTTTTTTTTTTTGAGAATGGGAATAAACATACATGTGTTGCACACTCGATAAATACGAGCTACTATTTTGTCCTAAAGCTAAGTCGTTATAACACCGCTGCTTTTTGTACATGAAGCCTACAATGTATTATATTTATGAATGTCTAACATGGTCTTAAAACTGAGTATTTCGTTGTTGGGTATGTGCGTGTGTCATAGCATGTGTCTCGGAAAAGTGTCAGCCAGACAAAAAAAAAACCTCTGGCAGAAAAAGTCAGATGGAAACAGTGGCGAACAGAGGGCAAATGTAATAAATAGTAATAAAAGAATACTTGTCTATATTTCTGAGATGAGGTATTATGTACATTATTTACATTATTCAGACTATTATCCTCATCTTTGTCGCCATATTTTTTACAACGTTTCGGCCGTTGTAAGCTCCGGCCTTCTTCAGGTGGTTGGAACGTCGAACTGAACACTTTATTTCTCTCACTGGGGTAGATTGTTTTAATTCCACGTGCCATGTTTGATAGATGTCAGTTATCAGTTATCTCCTGTTAATTTCCCTCTGAAAGTTCTCCACTGCCTTAACCGGGTATTGAACTCACACGCTTTGGGTTCCTGTCACTGGATCTAACTAACGCCTTTATCCACTCTGCCATGTGTCTTATAAACCAAATGTCTTCAGCAACCATTTTTACGAAATTTTTTGAGCGAAATAAAGGGTTCTGTTCGACATTCCAGCCATCTAAAGAAGGCCAGAGCGTACAGCGGCAGAAACTTTGTAATAAATATGGCGACAAAGATGAGAACAATAGTCCGAATAATGTAAATAATGTAAAAGATTACTTGTATAATGAATTACAAAAAAAAAAAAAAAAAAAATTTTGCCTGCTATACTCAAAACAAATTGATTATATAAGTTGTTTTTTTTTTCTCACAGGAAATCGTTTTCAAGAGATGTTCTGCTTTAGCAAATCAAATGGACTTATTGTTAAGAATGTCTTAAAAATTCAGTTAAATCAAGGATTAACTGGGTTCAACCTTCATATAACTATAATGTAATCGCACTTGTTCCTCTGTTTGTTCGTAAGCCACTTAGCGAGTGCTCTACAACCTGTTATTACCTCAGAAATATAATGGATCGTTCTCTTTTGATGGCGAAGAAAAAACAAAAAAAGAAAGAAAGAAAACATAGTGATTAAATGAAAAGAACAAGAAAGAGAAAGAACAAGAAAGAAAGAAAGAAAGAAAGAAGGAAAGAAAGAAAGAAAGAGATTAAATGAAAAGAACAGGAGAAAGAACAATATAAGAAACAAAGAAAGAAAGAAAGAAGGAAGGAAAGAAGGAAGGAAAGAAAAAAGTGATTAGAAAGAGAAAGAACACGAAAGAAAGAAAGAAAGAAAGAAAGAAAACAAAGTCATTAAATGAAAAGAACAAGAAAGAGAAAGAACAAGAAAGAAAGAAAGAAAGAAAGAAAGAGATTAAATGAAAAGAACAGGAGAAAGAACAATATAAGACACAAAGAAAGAAAGAAAGAAAGAAAGAAGGAAAGAAGGAAGGAAAGAAAAAAGTGATTAGAAAGAGAAAGAACACGAAAGAAAGAAAGAAAGAAAGAAAAGAAAACAAAGTCATTAAATGAAAAGAACAAGGAAGAGAAAAGAAAGAAAGAAAGAAAGAAAGAAAGAAAGAAAGAGATTAAATGAAAAGAACAGAAAAAAGAACAATATAAGAAAGAAAAAGAAAGACAGAAAAAAGAAAGGAGAAAAGAAAAAAGAAAGAAATAAAGAAAGAAGAAAGAATAGAGAAAAAAGCAGAACTTAAAGTAAAAAAATAATGAAAGAAAAATGAAAAATATGAAAGAAAGAACAAGGAAATAAAAGGAAGAAAATGAAGAAGAAAAGAAATAAGGATAGAAATGATAGAAAAGAATGAAATATAGAGAGAAAGAAAAAAGAAAGAGAAATAAATCTAAGAAGGAAATAAAAGGAGGATATTCAAGAAAGAAAAATGAAAGAAATGAAAGAAAAATGAAAGAAAGAAAGGAAAAAAGAACAAAAGAAAGAAACAAAAAATGAAACAAAAAATGAAAGGAAGAAAGAAAAGAAAATGAAAAAAAGAAAATGAAAGATAGGAATAAATGAAAGAAAGAAAAATGGAAGAAATGAAAGAAAAATTAAAGAAAAAAGAAAGAAAAGAAAATGAAAAAAGAAGAAAAGAAAGAAAAGATAAAGAAGGGGATAACATTCTTAAACGTTTAACGTCTGCTTTAATGAAATGGAATGATTTTTAGTTTTGCATGTTTTTATTTTTACCCTTTGACTTCTGTAAATAATGTCCTTCATTTCTATTTATAATGTTTATTTCAGTTACTTTGTTAAAACTGTTAATATTTAACGACTCAAAAGGGGAATGTCTACTAGTATTTTATCGTTGTAGAAATCTCAAGAAGCACATCCAATCATTAATTTAATAATTAGGATTATTCAGAAAATTCAAATAGGAAAAACGTTAAGTTTTCACAGGTACTGCTTGTCATCATTATTCTGTATAATGCATTGTAACGCCCACAAAGATCAAAAGCATAACGTCATTGGATAATGCTTAATTAATTTATGTGATAATGATAAATTAATTTATAGTCTCTTTGATAATGCTTAATCAATTTATAGTCTGCCTCTGATTCTTCTTTCAGTTGTATAATCAACTATAACGTTCTTTCTTAGATCGTATTTCTTAGTCAGTTATGCGCCATGCGTGACATATGCGGCATTATCCTTAGTCAGATATGCGCCATGCGTGACATATGCGCCATTATTCTTAGTCAGTTATGCGCCATGCGCGACATATGCGCCATTATTCTTAGTCAGTTATGCGCCCTACGTGACATATGCGCAATTATTCTTAGTCAGTTATGCGCCATGCGTGAAATATGCGCCATTATCCTTAGTCAGTTATGCGACATACGTGACATATGCGCCATTATTCTTAGTCAGTTATGCG